GGTTTTTCCTGTTTTAGTCTCACTCAGCTTTATGAATGCATCCATAACTTCATGTCTCTTGCAAACTTTGGAAATTTCCAACCGTCATTTCATTTCTTTGAACATTCACCCACCATTATCTTCTCCTTCCAGGACTCCCCTGACACAAACTTAAAATGCTCTGTTAGAGGTCCACAGGTCTCTATTCCCTTTTTCTTTTTCCAGCTAGGTTTTCTTTGTCATTTGGACTGTGTCATTTCTATGTTCCATCTTCCAGTTCACTGACTCTTTTCTCTATTTTCTTTGTCATTTGGACTGTGTCATTTCTATGTTCCATCTTCCAGTTCACTGACTCTTTTCTCTGTCCCTTCCATCCTTCTGTCAAACCCATCAGTGAGTGTTTTATTTCAGAAATGTCAAACAAAAGGTTCTCCACTTGGCCTTCACTAGCGTTAGTGGGGACAAGGATAGGGCTGCAGTTTTTCTGTTGCATTTGGCTGGATTAGACTGGCTATTGTCTACATATTTTCTATGTTGCCAGGCAGCCCCTTTCTGAGTCCATTGGGTAAAAACAGGCCATTGTTGGGGATTTCTTCCTTCCTTCCTTTCTTTCATCCTTTACCCTTCCCTTCCCTCTTCCTTTCCCCTTCCTTCTCTCTCTCTTTCTCTCTCTCACTCTCTCTTCCTCTCCCTCCCTCTCCACTTCTTTTCCCTTCTTTTTGTCTATACATGTTGACATTTCCAGGTTGTCAGTTTCTTCAGTTCCACATCTACAGTGATGTGACAAAAAGAAAACTCAAGAAATTCACCTCTGTATCCTTCCTTGGGTTCTAAAATCCCTAGTCCATCCACATTCTTCTCACCACTTTCAGAATCTTCATAAGCTAAAACAGCTGATCCTTGAATAACATGGGTTTAAACTGTGTGGTTCCATTTATATGGAGATTTTCTTCTGTTTCTGTCACCCCTGAGAGAGCAAGACTAACTCGCCCTCTTCCTTTTCCTTTTTAGCCTACTCAATATGAAGACAAAGATGATGAAAATCTTTATGATCCACTTCTACTTAAGGTATAGTAAATATGCTTTCTCCTTTTTGTAATGTTCTTGTGTTTTCTCTAGCCTATTTTTTATTATAACCATATGGTACATATTACATATAAAAATTATGTGTTAATCAACTTTATGGTATCAACAAGGCTTCCCATCAATAGTAGGTGATTGGTAAAGTTTGGAGGGAGAGAAAAGCATACATGAATGTTGACTACATAGTGGTTGGCACCCCTAACTCCATGACGCCACGAGTCAACTGTATAATATGCAGTGTCTAGGCTCTTTGGTGTGGTTTCTGGGAGGAAGAGGGAGAAGTATGTCTACACCAGCTTCCCACAAGCAGAATCTGTACCAGATCATTTGTTTTTCAATGTCTGTACTTTTTCCATTTTCCTTTAATTCTTTAAAGTTCTTAAAGTATTGCCAGTAACAAAACTGAACAGATTAGTGTGTAATGAAAAGAACTATACTCTAACAGTGCTTCTCTAAGTGGCCTGTGGATATGCTCTCCCAGAAGTGAGAATTCTATGAAAAATTTTTGGATGTGACATCAATTCTATTACGATCTTACAAATATCCTGTGCCAGTTAAACAGACAAACTCATTTTTTTTAATTATGAAATTTCATAAGACTATGGTCTCAAGCTATATTTTCCCCATAGTACCTGTGGTGAGGCACTAAAAATAATTTCCTCCTCCAAGAAGGTGAAACTAAGTGTGAGAGATACTGCTCAATACATGGGGTGACCATTGCCTCTGTTTTCCTAGGACATTCCCAACATATACCTTTGGTCCTGGAATAATTATTGATAGGGTTCTTTTATACTCACAATATCTCATTTTGCCTGACGAGCTAATATATAGGTTCATATCACCTATGATAATGAATAAAAGAAAATGCAAAACAGGAGGAAAGCCCCAGCAAACAGACACCACTCCCGCCATCTCATTCTCTCCAGGACACCAAGGTGTATATTTAGCATTCATTAGTGAAAAAGCATTAAATAGCTCATATGCAAGGTCCATCTTCTTTTTCTCAGCAGCAACTTATTATTATATATTTTGTGCTTATACTGTGACATATCCACCTGTAATGATAACGGGTAACTAAATAGTATTGACTAAATAGTTGTCAACATATGTTCTATTATACTAGAATATCAAAGGATGCTAAAATTCCGCCAATTGTACACTTAAATAAAACATAGCCATCAATTTGCAATTACATGTGTAACTTCCTAGTCTTTACAGTCAAACTCTTACAGGAACACAGTTTGCCAACTTCTCAGCACCTAAATCATTTAACTGTGATTTACCAGAAGTTCCATAAATATCAACTTTTCTTTTTCAGTGTCCTCAGACCTAGGTTCTCAACAGCCAGCTAGACATCTCCACACACACATATTCAGCTGGCTTCAATTCCCATCATGATGAAATAACACAGCATCCTTCAACCAAACTAGGTCTTCAGACTTCCCACTTCCTTCTACAGCAACCCATTTTTCTCCAGTTCCCCACCAGTGAAACTTCAATGCCAAGTTAGTCAAGGTTTTGTGAAATATAGCCCAGAATTTACTTTTTGTCCAGTCTGCGACATCTCCTTTAGGTTCTAGAAGAACAAGAACTCATCCTTTTCATCGAGCATTCCCTGTGTTCATTCTTCCATTCCTCCATCTGTGGAATCCTACCTCAGTTCTATTCATCCATGAAGTTCTGCCTGGTAACTTCCAACCAGATGTGTTTTCTCCACCTTTAAATTTCATGAGGAAGGAGACCCAGGCATCTGGGATTCCCTCCCCTCTGTCATCCACTGTGCAGCTCAATAGAAGAGCGAGCAGGCCAGCTGGTGCCTCCTGAATCTCCTTCCTGAAAATAACAGGCTTTGTCTTTGGGAAACTCTCCGGATGACACTATTTTTACTTAAAACAAGATCAAACCAGAAACCTTTTCACATGTGAGTCCTAAAACTGTAAACTGGAACCCTTTCATATGTGATTCCTAAAGCTATAAACCTAAGATTCTTCCACATGTAATATCTAAAGTATAAGCCTATATAAAGGTAAAACCTTCCTTTGTTAGATGAGCTGGGTTTTCGACAAATTACTGCCTGGTCTCCCGGCGGAATAAACTCCTCCCTCCTTTGTTCGGTGTTAGAGAGATCCGTTTCCTGTGGCCGCTCCTGCTACAATAATATTTTCAGGTGCAATATGACAGTTTTGTTTCACGTTCTTACATTATGGCTAATAGGTTGAACCACATGCAATTGTTGAACCTATAAAAATGGCAACCCCATATGGTCCAATCTAATCTTTCTTTTGGTTTTAGGGCTCATAAATAAAGACCCATCTCCATGAAAACAGGGGCTGAGTTTTGTCTCTCTTTTGGATCCCCTGAGAAGCCTAGAACATTGGAAGTGCTTAAGAAGTGTTTGTCAACATAAAGACCCTTAAATCAATACATATCTTATGCACATATGTTTGTAAAGTCAATCCTCTGGGGCAATTAGTCTAACTACATAGGAAATTGCTAATTGTTTTACCAATCAGCACTAAAGGGAGTGTTAGAACCTGAAAGTTCTAGAAACATAAAGTGTTTTCATTCAAGGAACTGTTTTAAAATTATTTATTTGTGAAGGAAACATCCTTGGATTTAGAGGTTGGCAGATATAGTGAAAAGCTTTTTCGTTGACTGAAATCGAAAAAACAAATCAAAACACTTTCTAGCACATGCACTTCCCTTATAAAACCAAACTGTCTGAAAGCAAAGCCCAGCAGTTTGTGCACAATGAGTGCGGGCCTCAGCACCATCAGCAGGAGATGCAATGGAGAATGACAGGGACAATTGCATTTCTATGGCTTCTTTGTATACCCCAATCCTGAGAGCATTTGACAAACCCACAAATATCATTGCCCAGAAGAAACAGGGATAGGAGGAGGCAGACCCAGGGACAGGCTTTGTGTGCCCCAGCCTGCCATGCACAGCAGCGGTCCCCACAAGGCTGTAAACCTGAGTGCAATTAATTGATGCTGGTTAAGAAAAGGGGGACATATGTCTGCTGGGTCCTTAACAGTCACAGAAACCATTCACAGAAAGTGTTTGGTCTTTCTCGCGTTCACAAAAAATAACGTCAACACATGGTGAGTTGTATTTGTGAGTTTCCCCAACAAATGACTGGTCTTCAGTTCTAGGTGATGGTGGTATTATCAATCACCTCACCAGTTCCCCCTAATTCCCACAAAAGTCACCAATCCGAATGAAAAGTGTGTAGACTTCTATGGGGCCAGGAGCAGTGGGCTGCCGGAAGCTCTGCTGGGGCCAGAGAGAAGAGAGCATCATTCACTCCACTACTTTGCAGGGGCCTATTTCCAGGGTCCGTTTCACTGAACCTTGGAGAAATTCAATGCAAAGGTGTACTTTTGTTGTGCTCCAGGCTGCCTTCCCCATGGTGAGATCTGGTCCTGGCCAAGGAGCGCTCAAAGCTAGTTGCCTTGGGGGCCCTGAGCCCACACCTCCTCTAGTGAGCGGAGGAGCAGCCCTCACTATCCTCCAGGGGTCACAATTGGGTTACAAATTCCTCATGGTGCAGGGACTGAGCAGCCTGACTGGGAACAATTTATTCGAACCCTTCTTCATTAAGATTCAAATGGAATAAGTAAGGTAGAAATTGAACAGACACAGAAATTGTGCCTTGCTGCTCCTGTAGTCAGTAAACATTTATTCACTAAGCCTAGCTCGTGTGTTCTTTCTCTCTCTCTCACACACACAGTTGTTCTTCAAATCTTTCCTGCTTGCTGTTTTAATGCATAATTAAGAAGGTCAGAATTAATGAAGCAGTGTGGAGTATAGTTCAAGGAATCCCCAGGCACTGTTTATTCTATTAGATCTCAAGCACGAATGTCACATTGGCAGCGCAGGCGGCATGAGCAATGGGGCTGGCAGCGTCCCAGGAACGGCCGCCAAGGGAGACTCACCTGCACAGTCCAGTCATTCCTCAGCTCCTTCCCTGCGAAAATCACACGCAACTGGTCAGCTGGAACCCCCTGTCGCTTAGCAACCACCTCCTTGAGCTGGAAGATGCTGGTGTCAGAATCGACCTCCACTGGGAAACCATGGCTGGAGTTGAACCTGACAAACACTGACCAAGGAAATTGGAAGGGAGAAAAGAAAGTGAGCATCACTCAAAGAGCTTAAATGGCCACAGCAACATGTCCCAACCGACTCACCCCTTGCAGCCCTTCACTGAGTAGCATATATTTTCTCTCACTTACAACAAAAAACTTAATGCTACAGAGCAATATTTGGGAAAACCAGAGTTACCCATGAGATTTCCCTCTCATACATTAGTCAGTGACCTGCAAACCACAACTGCATTCTCCCTTTGACATCCATCCTGGGAAACAGAGACTTGAGCAGAACACTTGCTTGATTGGAATTGAAAGAGTCCCATGAGTTTATTGAAAAAACTTAGCTCTGACAGCTCCTACAAACTCATACTCCCTCCACAGTGACCCTCTTAATAAAAACAGGAGGCAGTGTGTTAGCACTCAAGGAACAGCTATGGAAACATTTCAAGCTGCTCTATAGACCAGAGTGAGGACCCGCTAGGGGCTATGGCTCAGAGTCCTAGTCTTGGAGGGTCCTGGCCAAAATGTTCCAGTGGGTCTATGAAGACAATTATTTGCCCCCTTTTTTTGGGAGGGGGCGGGGACACTAGTGACACCATGCCTTATTGAAACCACTGTTCCCGTGAGAGCCAGGCTGCATCCTCTAGTCTTTCTGCATGCTGTCTTCTCACCACAACTGCTCTCCACCTCTGGAGTCTCGCATCTGCCCTTTCCTTTCCATTCCTTCTCTCACTTCTCTAAGTCACACTCTCATCACATCTTTTCTAGAGTCTCATAGTAGCCCTCAACTGTAGGCTAAATCCACTCCACTTACCTCCATAGAGCCCTACATAATTCTGCAAAATGAGCGTCATTGATACAGAGTTATGTCACACCACTGAAACCCTTTAAGTCTCACGCTGTCAGCTGGTGAGAAAAGAATCCAAGATCCCTTTCATCTAGCACAAACCTATATTCCAGCATTTTCTTCATTACTCTCTAAGTATACTCTGTTAAACTAAATGCTCCCAGAAGAAAAATCACAGAAAGCTGCTGCAGCCAACTTCTCGCTTTTATTCATGACCTCCCTCCTCCTCCTCTTCCTGTTGAAATCCTGCCTACCCCCTGAATGCCTACTTCAAATGTGACCTCCTCCAAGAAGCCTCTGGCTATCAGCTCCTGCAAAAAACCTGATCTTGCCTATTCAGGGCACCAGTGGCATTTACTATGTACGTCTTATAATATTCACCAGATTCCTCGTGGAAGCAGGATAGCACAGGGGTTAAAAGTGCATCCTGCACTGATAGGAAGACCCATGCAAAAATCCCCGCAGGCTCCTTTAATTGGCTTACGAGGCTAGGGGTAAATCCATCAACCTTCCCTCTTTAGGTCTCAGTTCCCTTATCTTGAAAACATAAACCACAGCCCATTATTTGACTCATGAAATAATATTTATACTATTTAAAACTATCATATTGTAACCTTTAAAAATAATGGACATTGCATAAGTCTTAGTGGTTCTTGATACACATTTTGCCTTCTTTGAAACATAATAAACTCCTCAAGGGCAAGTACTATTGTTTATTTACTGTTGTGTTTCTTTTAAATGTAGTCCTATAGCTAACTATTGCTCAAATCCAATGTGAGATGACCCGCCTCATCATAATTCTAATAAAGTAATCATTGCAATGCCAATAATAATCAGGCAATTGCTGTGTGCTAGATGCTGTGCTCTACACATGATTTTTCTAAGCCTATCAGTGATCTGGTCAGGTCACTATTAGATCCTCATTTTACAGAGTAGAAAAAGAAGGCTTAGGGAATGGTACCCACTTTTCTAAGGATATCAATTACTTTGTAATAGAACCAGATTTCAAATTTATTTCAATCTAACTCTAAAGCTCATTCCATTTCTACTAAAGTAGGCTTCCTGAAACCATCTCAGAAGAAAAATCCAGGCCAGGCACAGTGGCTCACACCTGTAATCCTAACACTTAGGGAGGCCAAGGGGTAAGGATCACTTGAGCCCAGAAGTTCAAGACCAGCCTAGGCAACAAAGCAAGACCCCATCTCTACAAAAATTTTTTAAAACAATCAGCAGGGTGTGGTGGCATGCACCTGCAGTTCTAGCTACTTGGGAGGCTGAGGTGGGATGATTGTTTAAGCCCTGGAATTAGAGGTTCAAGTGAGTTATGACCCAGCCACTCGGTCACGCTGGGAGACAGAGAATTTGTCTCAAAAAAAAAAAATCCATATTTCTAACCCTCATGATTAAAAAGATAACAATAAAAAGGCTTCATGACATAAATCAGATGTTCCCTACATGGGTGAGCAGTATAAATAAATAAAAGCTCCAGTGAGGAGCTAAGAGCAAAGAATCATGAACGATAACCGTGAACAACATGGGCCCCAAAACAGAAATGACTCTCAAGTGAGGGCGGGTGGCCCAGATGGCACCACGAGATGCCATCTCTGACCAGTACGAAAAATGTTTAGGAAAAGGAAGGACTGCCAGTGACAAAGTGCTCCAAATAAGGAAAATTCAGAAAAATACTAATTACAGAGGAAAAGGTCCTTTTGATATACTTTTAAGTCAATTTCATTTGACACCTTTGAAAATTGAGGAGAAGAAATAAAAATGTATTGGAAGCCCTGAGGTATCTTCACAGTATTCTCAGATCAAAGACCCTAAGACAACCAATTCATCAGATAAGACACATGACAAGTTAGCGGCTATAGGGACAAAAGATAAGGTCCCAGTTCTAAATTTCAATTTCTACTAGTGAGAATAGATTTAAAGTAAAACACCATAGGAAGGAAAGTGGGAAGAAGCAGGTAGAATTCATGCCAAAGCTGCTATAAAACCAGATAAAAATTCCAGGAGATTCTCAGGTTATGATTTTGCTCCAGGGGTTCAAATCAAGGAACTCCCACTGCAACAGAAAGAAATGCGAATCAAAACCACACTGAGATACCACCTTATGCCAGTTAGAATGGCGATCATTAAAAAATCTGGAGACAACAGATGCTGGAAAGGATATGGAGAAAAAGGAACACTTTTACACTGTTGGTAGGAGTGTAAATTAGTTCAACCATTGTGGAAGACAGTGTGGCGATTCCTCAAGGACCTAGAAATAGAAATTCCATTTGACCCAGCAATCCCATTACTGAGTATATACCCAAAGGATTATAAATCATTCAATTATAAAGACACATGCACATATATGTTTATAACAGCACTGTTTACAATAGCAAAGACCTGGAGCCAACCCAAATGCCCATTGATGATAGACTGGACAAGGAAAATGTGGCACATATACACCATGGAATACGATACAGTCATAAAAAGTGATGAGTTTCTGTCCTTTGTAGGGACATGGATGAATTTGGAAACCGTAATTCTCAGCAAACTGACACAAGAACAGAAAATCAAACACCACATGTTCTCCCTCATAGGTGGGTGTTGAACAATGAGAACACATGGACACAGGGAGGGGAGCATCACACACTGGGGTCTGTTGCCGGGGGGGGCCAAGGGAAGGACAGCAGAGGAGTGGGGAGGTTGGGGAAGGATAACGGGGAGAAATGCCAGATGTAGGTGACAGGGGGATGGAGGCAGCAAACCACATTGCCATGTGTGTACCTATGCAACAATCCTGCATGATCTGCACATGTACCCCAGAACCTAAAGTAAAATAAAAAAAAGAAAAAGAATTTTTTTGTAAAGAGAAACTGTAAAAAATATTCCAGATACCTCTGTACAGCTACTAAAATCCTAAGTATATAGAACTTTTCCCTATAATAGAAAAGCTACAGTTTTAAAGCTTAAGTTCAATTTAGATAAAACAGCAAATCTGATTTACAATATAAATTTATAATGGAAAGATAAACCAACTAAAACATAGGCATGAATAAGAAAAAACATCCGAAGAAACTCACTGAGTCAATAATCAAGGGCCATTATGTGAAAAATGGCTAGTGCTGAATGGCAGTAACGTGATCTGCGGTGGGTCTCAACCGTCTGACATATGTGGGAAACATGTCATACCCCATCTGTACTGGCCCTTGAACTCCAGCCACGATTTCCAAAACAGGAGTAGAGGGAAGTGCCCAGTCCTCCCCACCTACTACTTCCTTAAACATCACAGAAAGTAGAAGGTCTTTGGAGCTAGGTAAAGAGAAATGTGCATACTGGCTGTAATGCTTGCTAATTTTATGACTTAGGACAAGTTACCTGGCCATTTTGACGCTTAGCTTCCTGATCTGATATGTAGGGATAAAGCATGCAACACCAATATCTGTTACACAAGATTTATTGAGATTATGGATGGATTAGGAAATCTCAGAAAGAGACGAGTACAGGCCTGCCTTCTTAGTGCAGAGCAAGTGTGTGCTCCAAAAACAGTTCCCTACTAGAGGCACCTAGAGGAGGTGGAGCTCATTAAAGCAGCATCCTTTGCTTGCATGGTAACTAAGGGAGAGTAGATAGGATGTGGGTAAATATTAAATAAAGTAGCTAATTTTTCTGGATTCTTCTCCTCTTGGTGTATAGAAACCAAGAGACCCAGAGATATGATAGAGAATATGGCTTGTCTCCGCAAGAAACTTCCAGAGACCAGAAGATATGATAGAGAATATGGCTTGTCTCTACTTTCTGAGGTATAATTATATATTGCAAGCTTGGAAATTCATTGTTTTCATAATTGTTTTGATGATACCTATTCTAGCATCAGAAATAAACACCATATCAATGAACATTATCAATCATGTGTATTATCAATCAACACCATAAGGCACTGATCAGAAAAAACATAACGAGACGTATCCACATTCATTTTTTGTGATATCCCTAACCAGGACTCAGAAGTCCCAGAGACTAAGGCAGTGACTAGGAGGGAAGAGGGGAAGGGGTTATTGGTGGATGGGTCCTTATAGTTCTTTCAAGACCATTTTATTTACCAAGTCTGACAAGGGTATAAACTTTTGAGTCATAAATATAGTAGATGATATCAATAACGAATGATTCTTAAAT